CTCATCAATCTTTTTCAATCCTCTCTACCTTAAAGAATTGTTGTTTTAGGGATATAATGAGAATTGTTCCCTCTCTTCAAAGACACCTACCACCTTTTACTTAGAGAAAGGATGGCAGAAAATCACAATAAATATAAGTAAAAATCAGGAATTAGATGCAATCAGATATGGCTGTGGGGAGCATGAACAAAATGTAGGTGCTTCCTTTCTTCAATATCAGAAGTGGAATCCGATTATCCAAGCTGCCGCCTTCTCAGAATAAGAACTTTTAAACAAAAATTTTATGCAGTCCCTGCTTTTTGAACATGTTGCTAGACTCCAGTATAGAGGCACAGCTGCCACAACCTTATCTCATGTTTATAGCCTGCAGCTTCTGGTTCCTCCATCATTAGACACACTGCATTTGCAATAGGGAGGCTCAAGCCTGCCAGGTTCTGATAAAAAAATAATAACGCTAGAACACTGAAGGAATATGGAAGGGGATCTAACTGCACCTCTCCTTGTTTTCTAAACAAGAATATTTCTTTCTATCTTGGATGAACTCTGAAGAATATAAATAGTACAGTAAGTTTTCAAAGTAGACCTACTGAACAGGTAGGCAGAAGGTGCCAACTACAACCTATTATGCCAGTCACATGCCCGCCTGGTAAATCTCTGGGCCAATCTTGCAATTGTTTTAAGGGATACACCTATGTGTAATCATATAGCAATCAGTTCTTTCGACATTCCAAATAAGGAGCACAATAAAGATCTACCCATGTTTAGTTTGCTGGGAATTAACCGAGCGGGGGGAGGGTGTTTCCAATTTTGTTTTATTTGGGTTTACTAGAAAAGGTGAGCCATAAACCCAGTAAGTTTGTTCTTAAAATTCTAAACTTGATGATGATCAGTTCATACAATATTTATAGTCCTGCCTACTTCTCCACGAGTCTTTATCTCCATCTGCTGGTTAATTGTTAACATTCAAGTAAGGAAGCATTAGGAATTCATTCTGCATCTTTCACTGGTGACTGACTGACTGTGTTCCGTAAGTGCCTATTTTTAAACCAGAGATGTTAGGACAAACTGAGATTACTTCCAAATGATACAGATGTGGTGACATGGCACAATCCCCATCTTTACGTCCTGCCCGATACAAATACACAAATCACAGCTTCAGCATTATTATGACCTCTGAAACTACATTTCATCATCAGAATGCCCTGTGGGGACTTGACTCTGAATCTTTCCAGTCGCAGCAACTCTTCCCTATACATATTCTCTTCTGGGAAGCTTTCAAAACAGCACCAGTAATCACCCAGTATTTCCTTTAAAAACTTCCAAATAAGATTTCTATTTGGCCTAGAAATCTGCAGCGTTTCTGCAGGCAGGAGGAAGTAAATTGATGCTCCGGTTATAAGCTAAAGGGACAAATGTTGTGGGTGTTCCATCACTGTAGGTTTTTAAAAGAATCTGGACAACCATTTATCTGGAATAGTATTGGGTCTCCTACTTGAACAGGACCCCCAATATTTCTTCCAACTCCATTATTCTATTAATCAGATTGAAAGCTGCAGGGCTACCTGTGGTGATTCTAGAAGGCGATTCTAGATTGACTTTACACAACTTGCTTCCTCTTTTTCTCCTAGTCTATATCACCATCTCCATTGTTTTAATGCTGATCTCTGCTATAGCTTGCTATGGGTCCGTGATCTATGGCACACGTTCGCTCGCTGCCACTGAGACGTCAGAGAAGCTCTCCCACTCTGATTTAGCCATCACTCTGAGTTTCTTTTCGGGTAAGAAAAACACCACCACTCACACGAGTTTCATTTCCCAAATGCTGCAGAAAGATGGAACTCAAAGGAGGGAATACAGTATTGCACAAATTCGGAACCTGAAGACTCAATTCCCTCCTTTCAAAGAGCTACAGTCATAGATAGATCTCACTAAGCTGAATTCACATCCTCAATCGCATTGGTGATGTTTGATTTGGGTTTAGCAGGTGAACCAAATTATTAGAAATCATGGATATTTGCAGCTGTTCAAAAATCAGCAAACAAAAAACATGTGAAAGAAATCATATCCCTGCCCCAACAGCTAAGGGAAAACACTGTGAACAGAAGACATGTAATTATGATGGAGTGTTATGGGAGACTCAAAACTGAAAATGGTATTAGCTGGCCAAACAGTTGAACCACAATTATCTTTTATCCCAGGTTACACTCCTGCTGTTTCCACTTTCCATGTCGAGTTTTGGTAATCATGATTATTGTAGTCAATCAAAAAAGTCAAAATCCTGACTATCTAGAAATAAACTAACCACTTTGAGGTCCAACTTTTACAGACCTCAATCCTTGACGTACGTCCCTTTTTGACTTTCAGGCTGCGTAGGAGGAATCGGGCTGTTTAACTTCATGAGATTCTCAACTGATGAGCCCAATACTTTCCTCTCATGGTCAATGGTCCCAGGATGGTTATCTATTGTGGTAGCTTCCATGGCAGGTAGGAGAAGTGGAATAACAGAATAATACAGTTGGAAGGGACCTTGGAAATCTTCCAATCTAACACCACTGCTTAAGCAGGAGACCCTATACCATTTCAGACAATGGCTGTCCAATCTTTTCTGAAAAACCTCCAGTGTTGGAGTAGCCATAATTTCTGGAGCCAAGTCATTGCACTGGTTAATTGTTATATCAGGAAATTTCTCCTTAGTTCTAAGTTGGATCTCTCTTTAATTAGTATCTATTGCTTCTTGTCCTGCCTTCAGGTATGTTGGTGAATAGGTTGACCTCTTTTGTGGCAGCCCCTTAGATATTAAACTACCAACAAAAATCAGAATAAGGGTCAAAGGTGAAAGGGGGGAAGAGGCCTGCACAAGCCAAACAGAGTAAGGTTAAGGGAGAATAACCTTCTTGAAAATTCTTGCATAACACCTGGCCCCTCTTCAGGTTTCAGTATTCTTGAATATGGCACAAGAAACAAAGCAGTGCAGCTCTTGAAATGTAACAACCATTCAATTCCATTTTATTTGTGTTTCCATTACATTAATCCAAGTACGAAGGTCTTCGGTTGATATCAGCACCCTAGCTGTGTTTGGCTGATCCCAAAGTAACAAACTAAACAGGGTTGTACTTTGTTACTGCTTGGATGGGAGACCACAAGAGCTCTCAGAACTTTACTTTAAATTGGCAAGTTGGACAAAACACTCTGAAAGAAGTTAATGGCAAATCATTTTCATATGGAGAGAGTTTGGAAGAGTGGTTAAGGTGCTGACCTAGAAACCAGGACATGCTGAATTTTAGGCCTCCCTGATGCATGAAAGCCAACTGGGTAACTTTGAGCTAATCACTCTCTCTTAGCCCAACTCACTAACAGGGATGTTCTTGTGAGAAGCTGCAGAAATATCAGGTATGTGGCCATAATTTGATTGAATATAAAGATGATAATGTTTGCTTGCTTAAATTATCAAATATAAATGGTAGGATAAAAGAAAAATCTAACAATTTGGCAAGAAAGCCACATAAAATCCTGAAGTATTGAGCTCAGTTCAAGGAGCATCCTCCTTTTAGGTTGATAAACATGAGACACAGCATCCTTCTGGAAACTAAGGTTTGGGTTTTCTTTTTCCTTTTTTAGGGGTTTGCCACTTTGTGGCAAAACGGTGGGAAGAGGAGGAAACTGCTGAGGCTCTGACGACTACGGAAGTATTTACACCCTGGGCAGGAGACCCCTCCAAGAAGAAAACACAGGACTCCGCTAGTCAGAAACGGACCTAGGAATAAAGGCAGGAATAGGAAAAGTAGGAATAAAAGCCAGGCACCAAGCACGATGGGAATGGCAGACGATTAGCAGAGCCTGATGAGACACAGCGTTTGTTCAGAACAGAGTGAATTTCATTCCTGCTAGGAGATGCTGTGATGTTCCCATGTGGGGTGATGTCCCGAGTTTACTATTCCTGATCCTCAGTGTCATCAGGGCGGATACCAGCATGAGGATGCCAGCCAGGCTGCTGCCACAACAGCAAAAGAGCGATGCAGTCTGTCTGTCGAGGTTTCACCTTTCTTTCTTTCTTTCTTTCTTTCTTTCTTTCTTTCTTTGTTTCTTTCTTTCTTTCTTTCTCTCTTTCTTTTTCTCTCTCTTTCTTTCTTTCTTTCTCCTGTTTTTATCTTTTCTCATCCTTCCTGTGCCTAAGCCGCAGTAAACTCATTTCATGCATTTAACTGCCATTAATTCAGGTTTTTTTTGCACAAGGGGAAAAAAAAAAGAATTCTCGTGGCTAGGGATGATGGGTGATGTAGTCCAGCCGTGGTGCACATCTTTCATCTGAATGCGATCTCCAGTGGGCTCTGCACCTCTCCCAGAAGCAGCATTTTCTGAAGTCCCCAGTTGTCTTTTTATTTCCGCCTGCGGGGAAAAAAATAAGAGTCGGAACGGGAACGAAGCAGAGACGTTTCTTGCCCTCACGTAGAAATATCCGGGTAACGCATTCAGACGTGCTTGTGCTGACGCGAGTTAAGAGGCTCGCACTGGCAGATTGTCCTAAAGAGTCACCACAGCGTCAAGGAGACTCTACTAATTACAAGGGAGGCCGCCTGTGCCAAAAATGCCCGATATGGAGTGGATGTGTAATCAACCTGCCGCGCGGGACACTTCCCGCCCTTTTGTCCCTATTCTGGGACAAAGTCGCCTTCACCTCAAGAAACCGGGGGTGGCTGGGGAGGAGGAAAGCCGCACTTCCCATTGGCTATCCTGTACCGGAGCGGAGAATGATTGGCCAAGAGGGTGATTACCGCCCTTTTCTCCCGCTCTCCTCCACGTACAGAAGCCCTCTGGGATTGGCTCATCCTTAACGCCAATCATTCCCTTGGCGTTTGTCCCGATCTCCCGGTTTTCCCCTCCCATGAAGTTATTAGTTGGAGACCCGATCCCCTCCAACCGTCTTGGACTGGGAAAGCTGGATATTGATCTGCTTCCTCGGATTGGCTGAGCCCATACAAGGGGCGGGGGGAGAGATGCGTGCGCAAGTGTGGGCGGAGCTGCTGACTGCAAGGGCGGCAAGATGGCGGCGGCCGGGCTGAGGGCAATGGTGGGAGTGAAGCGGGTCATTGACTATGCCGTTAAGGTGCGCGCTTCCCGGGCTTTTCGGGTTCTCCTCCTCCCGGACCGTGAATTTCGAAATTGCACACCCGAATTACCTGTCTGATTATTTAGGACCCATCTGATCCCTCACAAGCCGCTTCTCTTGAATTAGGCCTTCACAAGCAGCATAAAATCTCCCTCTTGCTTAGTTCCGTGCGGCTTCCATAGCGATAATGGGGAAGCCGGGTTGCTACGCTTTTTTCTAGTCCGGGGTTGTCTATAGACGTGGGGAGGGTGGGGGATTTCATGGTGGTCTTTATCCATCAACCACCGAGAACGCGATGCCGTCTTCTGTTAGGGACTCCCAGAATTCCTCTTGCCTCTGCTCGCTAGGAATCTTGGGATATATAGTTCTAACTTCGGGTTGGGGGGCAAAGCCTGGCTTTGGAACCTCAGAAAATAGGGTTTGGGGAGATTATTATTTTTTTTAAGGGGCAGGCCTAGTCTGCCAATGCTATGTTTATTTTCTGCTGGCCTGATGAGTTAGAAGGGATTCTTTCCTGCTCTCCCTTTCCGACTTTTAGATGTTGCCAATAGCAATAGCACTTAGACTTATATACCGCTTTATAATTCTTTACAGCTCTCTCTAAGCGGTTTACAGAGTCAGCCTCTTGCCCCCAACAATCTGGGTCCTCATTTTACCTACCTGGAAAGGATGGAAGGCTGAGTCAACCTTGAGCCTGGTGGGATTTGAACCGCCCAAATCGCAGTCAGACGGCAAGCAGCAGAAGTAGCCTGCAGTACTGCACTCTAACCACTGCACCACTGTGGCTCTTTTACAGGTAGTTCTCAACTTACGACTGTAATCGAGCCCCAAATTTATGTTGCTGAGTGAGACGTGAGTCTTGCCCTGTTTTACCGCTTTTCTTGCCCAAGTTGTTAAGTGAATCTGGCTTCCCCATTAACTTTACTTGTCGCAAAGGGGGATCAACATGACCCCAGGACACAGTAAAGGTCATATATCTGAGCCGAATATGAATTTTAATCACGTGACCATGGGGGTGCTGCAGCGTAAAGTGTGAAAAACGCCCATAAATCACTTTTTTTCCGTGCCATTGTAACTGTGAACGGTCCACTAAATGAACTGTTGTAAATCGAGGACTACCTGTATACTTTGCTTTCCCTCTCGAGAATATGTGGTAGTCCCTCCTCCTGTTTGTGTCCCAGCCGCAAAGAGTCTTGTGGAATAATAAGTTGGGGTGACTATCCTTGAAACACCAGGTGAACATTAAGACAGGACAAGCCTCAGTCCAGTACTATAAGTACTACAGGATATACTCTGGCTTTGCAGGTGCTGCCTGCCACAACATCCACTGTAGGTAGGTTGTTTTTAAATATAGCAAGTAGCTGAAAATTATCCAGGGGAAACCTCCATGGTGACCGAGAATGAATTTGAATGTATGTCTCTGGTCCTAGTCCTCTGTATCTGTTGCACCTTTGTGACTAGTTTTGTTTTTTTAATGAGCCCCATCTCATGCTTACTCATTGTGGCTCTTGCTTAGAGATGTTGTATCACTGCACAGTGGATAATGAGAAGAAGAGGGATTGTGTTGGCAGGCAGGGTGTTTCGTGTGTATCTGAGTGTAATGTACCATAATTTTCATGCCTGCTCAAGGATAATCATGTGGAAAAAAAAGCAATAATCTGAAATACATGCATAATTTAAAGAATTAAATAAGTTAAGCAGATAAGTCTTAATGTTAATTTCGATTTTACCCATCTACCATTTGCTGCTATTTAAAAAAAAAGATACTTCTATTTCATTTCCATACCATAAAACATATTGTGTATCTCTGTGGAAATTTGACAGCTTCGATCCGTAAACCAAAAATAATATAATGAAATGAATCAGCTCTGAGGTTACACCAGAACTGTGTGTTTCTCTAGCAAACTGACACATAACACAGATGGAAAAGAGCCTTGCCTAAGAAATGTATTCCTGGTTAATTTAACTGAAATCTTCAAAGTGCTGTGCATTGTACATGCTTAAATGATCAGACATCTGGTGAAATGAACCTGCTTATTAGTTACTTTTTCAGCTGGTAAAAATGTGTGGTTTGTCTTCTTTGGACCAGAGAAAGCTTGCATTAAGCTTGCATTACCAAATCTCATTCTCTTAAAGTTTCTCAACCCCAGCAGCTTTAAAATGAATGCAGCTCAACTCAATCTCCCAGAATTCCCTGAGAGAAGCCAGCCTGGAGGACTCAGTAAGTTGAACCATATATCTTAAGCCTGCTGAAGTTGAGAAACACCGCCCTACAGAACTGGAAATGTTTTCTAAGCGTTCCCTACTTTTGTGTTTCCCTGAGATACTTTCTCAATAGATTGTCTCCTTCACAGGTCCGGGTAAAACCAGACAATTCAGGGGTGGTGACCGATGGGGTCAAGCACTCAATGAACCCCTTCTGTGAGATCGCCGTAGAAGAAGCTGTCCGTCTCAAGGAGAAAAAACTTGTCTCGGAGATAATTGCCGTCAGCTGTGGCCCACAGCAGTGCCAGGTAGGAATGCTTTTCCCTTGAGAAGGAAACAAACCCCAGTCTGAGGTTCTTTAAGAGTATGGATGTTCTAGTTGGGCCTCAGCCCTTCTCTTTAATAATATCTAGAAACTTAATTGCCACGCTCTGGAACTGTTATAGTTCCTTTGAGCGTCACCCATCAGTATTTATTTGCACAGTGTTGGGTGTGGAATTAAAATTCTGATCATCCTGTATGTAAAAGAATGTTACGGTCAGTAATCGGAGGTTTTGAAGCCATCTTTAACATTTATTGTTCCCTCACATGCGTTTTTCCAAAATTTTAGTTTATTTCTGGGATAGAAGAGAATGAGCAAAGTGTTTCCATGTCACACCTTTCGGATAAATATTTTGGGGCTCCCACTTCATTTGGACAAGATGGGTAAATATAAGTCCATTTTCCACAAACCACATTTGTTTTCTCAGGGTCCCCGAACACTGCTGTATTTCAGATCAAGAAGGAATTGAATAGGATAAAGTACTTGACATGTTAATGATCGAGCATATATAAATAGTTTCAAGAAGTCGGCTAAAAACAGCAGATTGAAATTAGGAACTTCATTGAAGTTAATCAAGTGCATAGGAATCTGCTTGGGAACGGATGACTCAGCACTACTCTACATGACTTGGAATCATGACAAGCTGAACATGAGCCAGCAGTGTGACATAAATGCAGAAAGACAAACACGAGTTAGGATGCAGCAGTAAAAATTCCCCAAGCACCAGAAATAATAGTTCTACTATGTCAGACTGTCCTGAACCATTCCTGTTTCTGGACATCTGACTTCTTAAGAACCATTCAGGCAAAATGAAACAGGTGCACATAAGAACAATGAGGATGATCAAAGTACTGGGAACTAGGCCTCTAGGAGAACTCTTATGTTTAGCCTAAGAAATGATGCATTATTACTCCTCAACTACCTAAGAAAGCACAATCTGTTATCTATTGTTGTAGAGCTCGGGGTACAAAATAATAGATCTAGAAAGCAGAATTCTAGAAAGCAGCAACGTGCAGCAGCCGCCGCCAAAAAAGTTACTGCAATCCCTGTTTGTCTCAACAGAGGCATAGAATCAAAATCGTGTAACGTATTAGTACCGCTTTATAAAGCCTTAGTAAGACCACACCTGGAATACTGCGTCCAGGTTTGGGCACCGCATTACAAAAAAGATGTTGAGACTTTGGAAAAAGTGCAAAGATGATTAAGCAACTAAGATGATTAAGAGCTTGGAGATAAAAACATGAAGAACAGTTGCAGAAATTGGGTCTGGCCAGGCTAGAGAAAAGGACCAGGGGTGACATGATAGGGGCTGCCACAAAGAATAGGGGGGGAGGGCTCATCTTATTTTCCAAAGCACCAGAAGGCAGGACAAGAAGCGATGGATGGAAACTAATGAAGGAGAGAAGCAGCTTGGAATTAAGGAGAAACTTCCTAACAGTGAAGACAATTAATTAGTGGAACAGAAGTTGTCTTCAGAAGTTGTAGGTGCTTCATCACTGGACGGTTTTAAGAGGAGGCAGGACAACCACCTATCTGAAATGGTATGGGGCAAGGGTCTTCAAACTTGGCATGTTTAAGACTTGTGGACTTCAACTCCCAGAATTCCTGAGCTAACATGACTGGAAGAGGAATTCTGGGCGTTGAAGTCCACAAGTCTTAAAGCTGTCCAGTTTGAAGACCCCTGGTATAGGGTCTCCTGCTTGAGCAGGGGGCTGGACTAGAAGACCTCCAAGGTCTCTTCCAGATCTATTCTGATTCAGTTCTGACAAACCAACAAAGGAATGATCGGGGGTAAAGTAACTTTTCACTGGATGTGTTCAGATAACCAACTTTTAATGGTATTTGCAGTAGTCCGGAGTCCTGTACTAGCAGGCAGTTGAACTTGGTGGCTTGGAGTACCTCCAACTTTCTAATTCGATGGAATAAAAATTATCTCAAAGGGCTGGGCTTAGTTTATTTTATCAAACCTTTCTGATATTGGAAGTTATTATCATTTCTTTATTTAACTTTCTACATTTTTACCCCAGTTTTAATACTTAATAAGTAACTAAAAGTGCAAGGCATACTTAATATTTCATCCTCCCCCTATTTTTCCCACAACACCAAGCCTGTTTGGTGAGTTGGGCTGAGATAAGAGTGACCGGCCCAAAGTCACCCAGCCCTTTTTTTCCATGCTTAGGGTGGGACTGGAACTCCCAGCCTCCTGATTTCTAGCCTGGTGCCTTCGCTGCATGCACGAAACACCATTCTTCTTTCCAATGCATTTCACCCTTTTCTGTCAGAAACTGGAGCTCGGATTCCTTCCTTTCATGCAAAGGTCTTGAGCGGGTGGAGTCAAGGGAATGTAGTGAACGAATGGCTTCCCCTAGCTGAGTGTGAAGGGAGAAGCGCTAGGGTTGGCTTAGCTTTTCAAAAGGGTCCGGTGGACACCAGGTGGCACCAGCTGCACACAAGAGAACTTGGTGACGTACTTGTCCGTGTGTTGTGTAGGAGGCATCAGTGACATAACTTCTTTCTCTTCAAATAGAGAAACAATGGCCAAAGCAATGGGGAAGTGTAGCTTGACGCTTTTTCGAGGTGGGGTGGATAGAACAGTTGAGATTTGGACTGGGTTTTCAGTGTGCATTTATGGAGCTTTCTCATCTGAAGTACAGAAGGCCATAAAACAAGTTTTGGAAGATAAGGGATTCCAAATATGTTTGTGCCTTATAACAGATCCAAGGCAAGCAAACAGGATTTATTTATTTATTTTAAAAAAAGAATTGTAACAATCATGATATCTACAAGCCAGAACTATTCGTAAAATTATTACCTGCGGGAGTCAAATTAATATGAAATGGTAGTTCAGAGGATAGGAAATCACTCCAGGAGTGAATTATGCCTTAGACAGACTTACACATGGCAAATTTAATAACTGCATTTCAGTCCTAAAGAACAAGACTGTTTATACAGAAAGCATTCTTCTTGCTTCTTTATAATCATTTGACAAAGACCTCTACTGAAATTCTTCCAGTGGTCAATGGAGCAAAGGAACATGTGTTCTGCCCCCTTCTCTTCTAGGATTAAGCCAAATGCCAGTTTGATTTAGTGGTTAAAGCGTCAAATTAGAGACCAGGGGATTGGGAGTTCTAGTCCCGCCTTAGCCACAAAATCCTGCTAGGTGACTTTGGGCCAGTCACTGCCTCTCAGCCCAACTCACCTCGGAGGGTTGTTGCGGGGGCGGGAGGGGGGGAGAAGGAGAAGGAAGAAGGACTGTAAAGGTATGTTCTCTGCCCTGAGATATGTGTGTGTGAATGGCAGGATAAAAATCTTTGCTTTTTTAAATGTGTAGCTTGGAGCATAGACTGTCTGCAGTCAAAGAAGGTGCTCCTGCCACTGCCTTCCAGTAGCATTCTTGGACTCAGGTATGATGCCAAAATGGGATCTTTCCTGCTCTTTTCCTGAGGTCCCAATGTTTTTTATATATATATATTGTGTCTCTGGTATTTCCAACTTCAGCTTCTGACATTACGTGATTCAGCCAGGCCTCCTTTCGCCCCTGCCCTCCCCTCCCCAGACCTGGCTGTATTCTATTTTCTGTCAATGAGGCTTCCTGACAGCTCCGCCCGTCATTGGTTATTTTCTGCACTGCTGCTCCCACTTCCTCATGACCTTCACTTGCTGGGTTGCTCTTGTAGTAGTTTTTTTTTAAAAAAAAATATATTTATTTTTGGCTGCCCTGCCTTTCCTCAAGCGTCAGTCTGCTGCTGATAATCTCTTAGTCTCAGAGATATGGCGGGGTGGGGGGATATCTCCAAGGCTGCCTTCCCCTTCTGTGACCGGTTATTTTCTCTGGTCGTATCAAGGATCTGCCTGGCACCGGGTTTGCCTTTACATCTGCTAGCTCAGCAGCTTCTGTGCATCTGATAACAAATGTGTCTTGTACCTTGGCTGGGTTCCCAGTGGGGAGACCTCCCCTTCCTCCCTAGACTTTCTAACGGTTGCTATCAACAACGCTGGAAAAGCAATCTCCGGTTCATTCATGCTAGCCTCGTACATCATTAAAACATCACATCAATTGTCTTTTAGCTCAGCGTAAGATAAATATTCCATATGGACAGCATTTCCACCAAACGACAAGATACGGGGAATAGGTGTGCTTGGTGGAAGACACATGCCCACATTAAATCTCAGCCTTGGCTTTCAAGCGTCTTTAGAATAGCATTGTTTCTTTTATGTTAGCTATCTCTGTTGCAAGTGAAGTGAATAGGTCTGATTTGTGAACGGGGACCAGTGCAGTGGCGGTTTATCTTATAAATGCTTTGCACCTTGGGCGAAACAATGGGGCTGTTCTCTGGCGTGAACATTCACAGGTTGCTGCTGTACAGTTTCTGACATTCTCTTCCCTCATTTCGTTGATATGTTACCTACCACAGTGGAATTGCAGAAGACGGGCATACAGGTTTTCAAAGGATGCTCCAAGTAAAAATGCAAGAGAGATGGTGTTGCAGCTCATCCTAATAAGGGAGTTGGCAAGTAAGCCCAATGTTAAATAGACACACGGGAGACCTGAATTCCAGTTTAGCCATAATATTCATTGGACAGGCGTATTTTCAGCCTGGGCTGCCTGCAAGGAGGGTTGTGAAGGTGAAATAAAGTAGTTCCACATAGGTTGCTTTGAATTCCGATATTCCTGTTAGCAAGGATAGGAGGCAGCCCAACTCTGGAATTCCCAGGGCCCTGGGTACCGCTTTACATAATTGGGTTTCAAGCGATGTTTTTTCAAACTTGGCATCTTGGAAGAGGTTTGGACTTCAACTCCCAGAATTCCCTAGCCCAATATTTGTTGGCTGGGGAATTCTGGGATTGAAATTTCACACATCTTAAAACTGTCAAGTTTGCAAAACTCTGGTTTATCACATTTTCCATCTTAAGGTCGGAATGCAATTACAGTGTGATGGTTATCTGCCTTTAACCTGTCTTTCTCTAGCTATCCAAAGTCTGCTGCAATAAATGTTTTTGGATGAGGGCTGAGTTATGAAAACTGTAACAGTAACAGAGTTGGAAGGTACCTTGGAGGTCATGTAGTCCAACCCCCGATCTCTCAGAAAGACCTGTACTATTTCTGATAGATGGCTGTCCAGTCTCTTCTTAAGAGCCTCCAGTGTTGGGGCAACCACAGTTTCCAATTGCCAAACTCTTACGTGGTTTCCCAGTTGTCATTAGGCGCTGGCTACCAAATGCTTCAAAACAGAAAGAGAACTTTAGGTCAGACTCCCGTTCTAGAACAAAACTGGAGTTTTACAAACGCTGGCCAAACAACCACATTTGGAAGCCTGTTTTTTTGTTGTTGTTGGTCGCATCTGCAGGAGACGATCCGCACAGCCCTTGCCATGGGAGCTGACCGGGGTGTCCATGTGGAGATTCCTGCAAAGGACTACGAGAGCCTCACCCCCTTCCAGGTTTCAAAGATCCTGGCAGCGCTTGCCAAGAAGGAAAGTGTGAATCTGCTGCTGCTAGGGAAACAGGTGAGAGAAAAGGAAGGGAAGGGCTGCTTTTGGCACAGGTAAATATTCCACGTGGAAGTCAGTGGTGTTCTGAACTCTGGGCAGTCTCCACCCAAGGCTAAGTTTCTAGGCCTTCGCGTTTTTTGAGAAGACAGAAGGCCAAAATATAGGTAGACCTCGAGTAACAGAACCTACCCATTATGGTCGTAATTCATGATAGCCATAACATGAGTCATACTACAGATCCAATTTTACAACCTTTTTTATGGTGGTCATTAAACAACTCCACAGACATTTAGCAAACCAGTAGCTCTCTCTCGGCGTGGTTTTGCCAAAAACCAGAAGTAAATGCTGGTTTTGGACGAAATTTGTAAACCATGGTCACTTGATTGCAGAAGGCTGCAGACGGCTGTAAACACTATTGGAACTTCAAATATAAATCAGAAGTATCCCCAAGTTAAGCCTAATAGAACTTCAAACAATCACTAAGTGACTGAGTCATAAGTCGAGGATTAGCTGTACCCAACCAGTTGGCATTTCGTACATCTGTAAAAGAGCAGAAGCTTACTCTGGATAGCAACAGAGCAGGGAGTACGTGCCTTTCCAATCTGATAAAGCTGGCATGGCCAAGGAAGTGGACTCCACTACTCAACTGAGACAGATGGCGAGCAAGGAAACTCCCATGCCCAAAGGGCCAGGCCCACCAGGCCTGAGGCCAGAAGAGGCAGAGCTAGGCCTTGCAAGGCTGATGGCTTTCCAAGAAAACGCAGGAGTGGAGCCGATCGGGCAAGGCTCATGCCGCCCTCCCTGATAGCTGGAAAGCTGGGCTATGAGCCATTCAGGGTTTTCAGGAAGGAATGGCAAAATATGGCACAATGTTTATTTATTTATTTTTTTCCCCCTTACTAGCTGAAGGTGCTTTTCTGGCTCTAAAAAAAAATGGGGAACCTGGTTTTGGGTCTTTACTGAGCACAAGCCTTTCTGAGTTTGTTTAATGTTGGCGGCTGTTGATTTTCCTCAGAAGGAAAGGGCGGCATGAAAGTAGAAAAGTCAAACCAGCCCTACCTTGAACTGAAAAAGTGCGTTTACTTGTGTACATACACATTCTTGTGGTCTTGAGTCAACATTCCCCAAGCCAAGTTTTGCAGCGAAACCAATCACCCCCACGTAGCAGCATCCTTTATAGCAGGGGTCCCCAAACACCGGTCCCCGGACCGGTACCAGTTCGTGGATCACTTTTTACCGGGCCGCAAAGCGGCGTTTGAGTGCTCGCGCCTTAGTTTTGTCGGGGGGGGGGGGGGGGCCTGATGGCAGTGGAGTCTCACGTTACTCAGGTACCGGTCGGTGGAAGGATAAATAATCATGAAACCGGTCCCTGGTTTGAAAAAGGTTGGGGGCCACTGCTTTATAGTACATATTTCCTGGTCATTATTGGGTGGCGGGGGAGGGAAATTAACCTGTAAAACCAGCAATACTTCCTGTGACCTTCCTTCTCTCTCCCTCTTTTTTTCTTCTCTCTCTCCACCTCAGGCCATTGATGATGACTGTAACCAGACAGGGCAGATGACGGCTGCATTTCTTGACTGGCCTCAGGTAAATTAGGAACCTCTCAGTTTGTGCCCCTGTGCTTAAAGGTACATAACCCTTTCCTTTGCTTCAGTGAATGAAACAATCAGATGGAGAGGTGAATGGTTAGTTTGTTACTTTGCTGTCCTAGTAAAAATAATCTTGTAGTAAAAGAAGACGAGGGGGGAACAGGAAGCTGGCAGAGTGGGTAGAATAGTCCCTGTGCTGTGTAACTCTGTTTGGTAGCCAGCAATGAAATACAACAGCCTGTTGGCCGAGGAATGGAATTCTGTTTTTTTTTTTTTTCTAGCTCCCAGATGACCACTGTAGATTTAAGAAAGTTGATGTGCAGAAGCAGGAATTGTTCTTGAAAATATTGGGCTTACACAGAAAACACAGTCCTTCAAGACAGCCAGCGTTTCACTTTTGTTTTGTGCATTCACTGCCTACTTGTCTGCACTGATAGATTTGTACAAAACATGTATCTCTCTCCTGCTTCTCCACAATCCGAGAATATAAATTCTTTTCATTTGTTCATTTTGTTTGCAATAGAAATCTCCATGCCTTATTTTATTTTAAAGGCAGTTAGTCCTTTGGTCATGTTTTCTTCATCTTCCCATAGGAATTAATCCTTCACGGAGGCTCTTTTTTTTTTTTTTTGCTTCTTTTATATGGCTGGATTTGTGGTCTAATAAGCGGGGCAGGCAAAACTTGTTAGTGTCCAGCTCAAATGTTACGCTTGCACCTTGGTCACATTTCCAGAGAGATGGTCACGGCGATCACTGCCGGCTTGATAATGGAGTTGAAGGCAGGTGAAGTGTGCAGGCCTTTCTACAATTCACTGGGTTGGGGTGTTTTTTGTTTGGCTAGAACCTGCTTTGCTTGGCAGGGCAATAGGCAGGATGCATTTCACTTGGAGCCCTTGCAGATACATCACAGAGGCTGGCAGCCTCGGCTTTCTGGTATTTTAATTCTGGGAAGAATTAAGAACTTAAGAATTAAGAATTGTCAAGAACTTAATTGCCTAGCTCAGTGGGCACCAGGGGCTAGTTCCATGGAGAGAAGTTTTTCCCCAGACCAGATCAGGCTTGGCTTGCATGCACAGCCCAGTTGCTGGCATGCCGTGGTCCAGGGCCAAACCACGGACCGGGGGCTGGGGACCCCTGGCCTAGCTGGTGTGCTGCCTGGATGTTCTGACCCATCTCCCCAAACACGACAAACCCTCTGTAGTTGAAGCAATGATTCCCTTATTAGGAGAGCCAGCAGCCCCGGCAAAAAGTTCCTCTCTCACCGCAGGCTAACAAGTCTGTCCAGCCAGGAGATGAACAGTTGTCTGTCACACCTATTCATCTCTGCCCCCTGCCTTTTATCCCCAGAGCTAGGGTGGGGCTTTGCTAGCGGGGGTGGATCTTCCGTCCCAAGGACCGGCCCATAGATTTCCACTGCTCTCCTCTCCTCTGCCTTCTGCGTATCCACGTATCAGGCATTGGACCCAGCTGTTCCTCTTCTTCCTCCTCAGCCACCTCCAGACCTGAGCGCTGTTGACTCTCCATCTGAGGGCTGACAGACGGCCCAGGTTCTGCCTCTTCCCTATCTCTGCCAGGTCCATTCCCTCTTCCCCCTCGGAGCTCTCAGGTTGCCCCGATGCTGACCCTGACTCCCACACCTCCTCCTCCTCTGATTTGGCTGCCAGAGGGGCTGGTGGCCGACAAACCACAGCCCTGGATTTTGAAGATGGCTTTGCAGTAAAGCCACCTCCGTTGTGTGTGTAAACAGATTAGTATCGTCTCTTAATCCCCACTTATGACCGAGAATTGTTTTTCTTAAATAGGGTGATTTGAAAAGACTGCTACGTATGCTGAGGTGTGTGCATCGACACCCCTCCCATGGGAGTTTCCATTTGGGACAAGATCACACTTGCCCCGCTTTTCATGGCAGCAGCTCTTCTTTTTCCTCGGCAGGGAACTTTTGCTTCAGAAGTGAGCCTGGATGGGGACTGGCTGAAGGTGGAGCGGGAAATCGACGGGGGTCTCGAGACGGTGCGCCTGAAGCTGCCTGCTGTGGTGACTGCCGATTTACGGCTGAATGAGCCTCGCTACGCGACTCTGCCCAACATCATGGTAGGATCCTGACGCCTCTTTCTTACTCTGCTGCTGCTTACCTGCTCCAGCAGACCATCCCAGCAGGTGTACAGCTTTAAGATTAAAGAGAAAGGCTTCCCTGGGCATCGTTTCGGAGCTCCGTGGCTTTGGAGAAGAGAGAGGTGGAACTTGGAGTTTCTGGGAAACTGATAGAACACTTTGATAGTGACCCGAAACTCCTCCTGATAAAACTGGACGGAAACGTAGAATAGTTCACTTTACTTTATTGTCACTGCACCTCGTACAACGAAATCGAACACCATCTTCAGTGCACATCATGACCATGAAATTAAACACAAACACACATCCTTCACACTCCACACATTGAACTGAAAACCACCTGTCACCACACCAACACTGCACTATACAGCAGAATTCAATAGGGGGCCCAAAGGAGGACTGTACAACCGTGGTGAGATTCAAATATTTTTATCACCGGTTTGGTGGGTGTGGCTTGGTGGGCGCGCTTTGTGCGCATGCAACAAACGCGCACTTTGCACAGGGGCGCAGAAGCGTTCTAACTCGCCTCCTGCAAGCCTGCATGATCCCGGTTGTTTCAGCAGCTGCCGCGCAACACTCTTCTGTGCCACACAAAGCAGCTGCGCTTCAAACTCAGAGGAGAAAGGTGCTTTTCACACTGCAACAGTGTGAAAAGCAGATCTAAGCCACTTCAGTGCCACTGTAATTTCGAATGGTCACTAAGTGAACCGTTGTAAGTCAAGAACTACGTGTTGAACATCTGCAAGTGTGTTAAATGCAAAGTGCTCCAGTAACAGAAGGGGAGCTGCAGGTTTGCACGGAAGCCTTGACTTTTCCCGTCCCCCTTCTGTTGGTTCTCTGTATCCCAGGGACAGCTGGTCATAAAACCAGAAGAAAATTTTATCCGGCAAAACTAGTCCGTGGTGGGCTAATTGTTCCCCGTTCCCCTCTTCTTTCCCAGAAAGCCAAAAAGAAGAAAATGGAGATGGTGAAGCCATCCGATCTTGGTGTGGATCTCACGCCTCGAGTGAAGACTCTGAGCGTGGAAGATCCTCCTCAGCGGAAGGCCGGAGTCAAAGTGGAAACGGTGAAAGATTTAGTTGCTAAGTTGAAAGAGATCGGGCGCATCTGAGCTCTCGGGTAATTTTGGTAAGAGGGAAAAACTGGGGGTGGAGTAGACTGGTGCTGCACAAATTCACCGCAACTATAGCCCTCAACTTACAGCCATTATGGAATCTGCCCACCAGGGTCATAAGTCGCGACCCTTGTAAATTTGGGACAGTCACATGAACAATCCCAATTTTATGACCTTTTTTTTGCAGTGGTCATTAAGTGAACTCATGGTTCACCATGAAGGCAGTTTTGCCCCCCCCCCCCCCCCCCCCCCCCAAAAAAACCCACAATGGAAGTAAATGTTGGTTTTTGGCAAAGCCATCATAAAAGGTGGTCATCTGAAGGTAGGAGGCTGAAATGGCCCTAAATGCAAATAACCATAAATTTTGCAGACATAAGAACCTTTTTGACTCTTAAGGCAAATTTTGATCTGTAGGATGACAAATTGTGTTCCCTTTTAAGTCGTCTTCTTCCAGTGCCCATTTATTGTTGTGGTTGTTGTTAGTTGCAAAGTCGTGTCTGACCTATCGCGACCCCATGGACAACATTCCCCCAGGCCTTCCTGTCCTCTACCATTCCCCGGAGTCCATTTAAGCTCACACCAACTGCTCCAGTGACTCCATCCAGCCACCTCCTTCTCTGCCGTCCCCTTCTTCTTCTTTTGCCCTCAACCTTTCCCAACATTACGGTCTTCTCCAGGGAGTCCTTCCTTCTCCTTAGGTGGCCAAAGTCTTTGAGTTTCCTCTTCAGGATCTGGCCTTCTAAAGAGCAGTCAGGGTTGATCTCCTCTAGGACTGACCAGTTCGGTCACCTTACAGTCCAAGGGACTCAGGAGTCTCCTCCAGCACCAGAGTTCAAAGGTCTCAATTCTTTGGAGCTCAGCCTTCCTTATGGTCCAACTTTCACAACCATACTTTGCAACTGGGAAAAACCAGAGCCTTGACTATACACACTTTATACGCCCATTTATAATGAGATGAATTAGCAAAATCCAGGATGTTGGCCAGGGTGGGAATGTAGATGACTCAGTTTCCCACCCCAGGTATGTGCCAAAGTGGACCCTTTATTTTCTTCCTCCTTATAAGGAGAATTCTTGCAGCTGTCTCTTCCTTCTTTGTGGAAAAAAATATATATATTTGTGAGGAAAAAAGAACTGCAAAGGATTAAAGTAGTGGATGTTTGGGGCGGATTGATATCAATATTCAATTAATTGTGTCCCCATAATTTAAAAGAATCTGACACACTTAATAGATTAATGGCTCAATTGAGAGAATGGCCCTTGTTTCTCTGGTGAATTTCTACTGATGAATATGGGGATTTCACGCTTGGTAACAGCTCCCTAGAGGAGAGTCACTGGGTCCCAGCTTCATTCTCCCTGACATTGTGCAGCCCGCTTGTCTTTCCTGTTCCTGCCTTTTTGCCCAATATTTTTGCTCTCAGGTTTCAGAGTCTCCCAAAGGCCTGAATTTATTTTTCCTGAAAAAAATAAAAGGAAATAGATGCAAATCTGCTTTGATTTATTAAACCCCTGAGCACTAAAATCAGATTTTCTTGGCTCCACATGCCGCAGAGAGTCAAAGCCATGAACTCACTGAGGTTCATAGTGACTTTAAAAAAAAAAAAAACACAGCTAAAATCTGCTGTTTAAACTGGAAGGGAACTTACAGCAATATGTAAAGCGTGTTTGAACTATCCTAAACAGGCGCATCTGTTGTAATGTGAAGAAGACAGATAGGCCAGAATGTAGTTTATCTTATTTATTGCACAGGTCTCCCTGATCTCAAGATACAGATATTACATTCCCCAGACCACAACTCTGGGATGTACTTTGGGCTGCAAAGGAATGATTTCCCCAAAAACGTGTCTCCGTTTTGGGTCTAAATCCAAATCCAGCCATGGAAACCATTTTTTGTTTCTATCACTTTTGCTTTCTGTCCAGCTTGGGCCAAGTGGGTTTGATTTGGTTTGTCCAATTGATCCATTCCGTTCAAACAGTGTCAAGCTGTGTCCATATTTTTTCTAAATTAGATTTTTTTGGGGAGGGGAGGGGTGGGAAGGGCACCTTTTGTGCAGAGCTTTCTGCATTGCCTCACCAGTTTGAAACCCATTCGATTGGACAGTCAAATCAGGAAGGCAGCTCAGTTGAATCTCCTTCAAACCAAGCCTCTCTAGAATCAAGGCTTCGCGCAGCGCCTAAAATGTGATGCATGAAGGTTTCCAAGGGCCCAGAGGGAGAAGCAAGGGCCATTGACTGATGAGTCATCCTTGGTTTCATTTTTACTGTGGGGCCTTTTATCTCATTAAAAATGGAAATCAAGACTGCAAGAGCTGTGTTGGCTGGAGAAGACTAGCGCCCATCAAATCCAGCCTTGTCTCCAGCTGCGGATGGCCGGATGACCCTTGGAAACACTCAAATCCTAGCAGCCTCCAGATCCGTTCGATGCGTGCTGATTTTGGAGCTGCGCTGCTCCATCGCATCCTGAGAGTTCCCACTCTTATGTCCAAGATCCTACCCTGAGATAGGCCTCTCTTTCATGATAACTCCCTCGCGCTGGCATTTTTAGCAAGCGAAGTAAATGGTCAGCAGTATTTTAAGTGTTTCGGTTTTTCTTATTGATTAGATGAAGACATTTCTTTTGAAAACATTGCCAGTGAATGAATATATCCCTCCAACCCTGATGGATGGTATTTTGTAGTATCAACATAAAAAAAAACCCCTTCAGTCATTTATAATCATCTTAAGAAGGATACGTCCCGTCCATTGAGGCCGCCTCTCCCAGATCCATCATCATGGAGCCCATTGTTTTTGGATTTTCTTTGGGTTTCTTACCCTTCCACAGGATTTTTCACAACATTTAGCAAGAAATGAAGACGTGTTCCTAATGTATCTACCAAAAAATTTATATAAAGGTTGCAATTGTTCTTTTTTTTAAGGGGGGGCGATGAAAATAAACGTCCCTTTTATGAATCCCGGTAGGCTACAAAATATGTCATTTTCCACAATATGCAAGCTGTTGGAAAAAAAAAAATCCATTATATCATCAGAGATTAAAGACTAGGCATTTGGACACGAGAAAGATCCATTTTCTCAGGTTAATCAACTTCCACAAATAGTTTTTCTTTATTTGAATTATAGGGCAGCTTTACCCAGCCTGATTGATTCCCACCATTTTGGTTTATTTCTTCCCTCCTTCCCGGCTAACAGGCTTTTCCAATACCTATCGAGTTGTCAACGTTTGTTATCCCAAAAATATTTGACTTGTAACATGCCCGAATTGGACTGTTTTTTTAAAAGCTCTGAACATCCTTAATTGGTAGAACACTGGCTTTTTATTTATTTATTTATAAAGTATCTCAATCTCTAGGAGCTATACAGAAACTTGACACCAGAGGCCAATTTTAATGACTCATTCATTATGAGGTTCTGTTGCTAAGTATAGTTCTAATAACAGGCCTAAATATCTGCAGACCCCTCACATCCTGGACATAAATTGTTTCAACTTCTACACTAAAAATGACATTATAGGGCACTGCACACCAGAACAACTAGACACAAGGACAGTTTTTTCCCCAAATGCCATCACTCTGCTAAGTAACTAATTCCCACAACACTGTCAAATTATTTACGAAGACTGTATTACTATTCTTCTCATCCTTCCCATTACCTATTTCCTCCCATTTGTGATTATAACTTTGTTGCTTGTATCTGTACAATTTATATTGTTTTATTTAATTTCGTGATATGATTTGATTGCTTATTAGTAACCTACGACTATCACTAAGTGTTGTATCTTATGATTCTTGATGAATGTATTTTTTATGTACACTGAGAGCCTAGGCACCAAAGACAAATTCCTTGTGTGTCCAATCACACTTGGCCAATAAAGAATTCTATCTATCTTCTATCTAAAGGATCCCTTTTGTCTCTCTTTTCAGCCTTGCCCTGAGATGCTGCTACGGGTGGATCTCCTAGGAATGGGTGTGGCCTTCATAGAGCCTGTCTTCCTGTCTCGAGAGAGAGAGAGAGCCCATCCTGTCGGGACCCGGTCCCTCTGAAATCACAAACCATGCTGCCTTCCCTCTCAGCTGGCCGCTGGAGAGAGCCAAACGAGAGTTTAATTCTATTTTCTGTACTAATGATGGGTTGGTTTGCAATAAACGTCATGTGATCTTTGAAGGTGCTCGGAGCAAATGTCATGTCTCTGTTGTTTTCTTTGCATTCCCAATTAATTGCTTTAATCCTGCAGTAAATGATCTGCCCTGGGCATTCAGAAGGGTTTCTTTTTGTGTGTGTTAGTGTGTTTTGTTTTTAATGGCCCATGGTTTGTAGATGTAGTGTCTGAACAGCTCACCTCTTTTTCTTTTTTGCAAAGCATAGTTGGAGGCTAACTTTCCTTCATTAAACGGGTGCAGAATTTGCAGGATTTCAGGACTAGCACCGAGTTCTTGTTGGCTTTTAGGCAAAAAAAAAAAAACCCACAAAAAAAGCAAAGCCGTGGTTCTTTTCTCTACACCGTGAGGAGCCTTTTTGGGGAAATATTCTGTTTATAGCCCTCTGTCTTTTTGTTGCCAATGACTCTGGCATCTGAAAAAAGGTAGTTAAACATTGTGCAGGTTTGTGCTCTATTCAAATCAGTCTCCAAGGTACTGCTCAGCTCAGCCTTTAAATAATAATAACCTGAAACTGACACAGCTGTCAATATCTAGAAGCCCATTTCACTTCGGTTGCCCTTCGGTTGCCCTTCTGTTTGTGTAGGCTAGCTCTTTAAGCGGAAGTTGAGAAAGAAGACGCACTTTGATTATCTAGCAACCCTTTATAGGTTTTTTTTTTCCCCTGGTTCTCTAAAATTAGCATAGCGGGGTTTATGGCCCCATCTTTCCAAGACAGACGTGAAATGTCCTTTTTCAGGGCTCGTTGGATCAAAGGGGCCTTCAGAAGCTTTCTTTGAGGTCGGGCTGGGTCCAAAGCCTTCCTTGCATCTCATATTCATAAGGGAGGAAACAGCGGGAGGTTTATTGACAATGCACATCTAATCTATGTCAGTTCGCTTCTGACTAGGACAAGAGAGGAATGCATATGTATGGTTTGTCTCTCAAAACAATCCAGCGCGTTTTCTCTTCACATAAGAGCATTCTGCCTCCTCCGAGAAATTTTCACTTGCACGCCATCACAAACAGGAAAAAGGACTGGAATTATTTTATACCGATCTCCTTGAAGGAAAACAAACTTTCTTAAGTCTCTAGGTTGGGATGGACTGAGCTCTCTGTTGCCTTTTTTAAAACCAGAATTTACCATTCTGCAGCCAATACTGAAAATAAAGCAGGAATGGGTAGGATTATAGAAGCTCTCATCCAAGGGTCTTCAAGCTTGGCAAGTTTAAGACTTGTGGAAATTCAACTCCCAAGATTTCCTGAGCTAACATGACTGGAAGAGGAATTCTGGGAGTTGAAGTCCATGAGTCTTAAAGCTGTCAAGTTTGAAGACCCTTCTGCAAACCTGGTTGGCTGGCTGGGGAATTCTGGGAGTTGAAGTCCACAACACCTTAATAGTTGCCACGGATGAGAAATGCTGTACTAGATGAAAACAAGGCTTTTCCAAAAGGTGTTGGGGTGTGGATGCCAGAGATTGAGTGAGAGGGAAGGTCTGTATTGTATATTATTTATGATGATGTGATTATATTTTGCCATCTTTGCAAGCCACCAAGAGTTTGTTTATAATTGCAGTAGGATCGAAATATGATTAATTAATCAATCCAGAGGTTATACACAATGGGGTATAAATTGTGTACATAAATTTAAAAAAATTAGTTATGTGATCTGACACTGTCATGCTATTTCCTGATTTATTGGCGCACGAGGTGTTTTGTGAACATAGCACAATGTGTTTTGTGGAATTTAGCAACCTGAGGTTAACTTCTAAGCACCTTGATGAGTCTTTGTGCTGAATTTTGCAGCAATAAATCCGGCATTCCAGAAGATTCCCCCTTCGCACACACTTCTGTTCAGCAGGGTTTTTCATGGCTCGAGTCTGTTTTATAGACTTTTGCCAGCTGATAGTAGTATATAACCCTGTTTAATCAGCCTGTTTATAGCTGTGTAGAGTTCCCCCAGGCCAGGAGCGGAGGTTCAACAAAACCGCAGAGAATAGTGGAAGTCCCAAGTTTGCAGAGACAAATGGTTTGAAGCAACAGTGCACTTGGGTCTTTGAAAATTTGGTCAAGGGGAAAGGATTTTAAAATAGATTGCACGCGGTGCAGGGAAAGTGCAAAAAACAACAACCAAACAATACAAAACTCCTTGGATTGACATCGGTTGGAGCAGAAGCCTTAGCCTTGTGTCTTTGAACAAGCGATTAAAAAAAACTAAGCTTTCTTCGCCACTGGGAATTTTTTTTCCTGCTATTTGCCTAGTGCGAACATGGGGTTGCTGGCAGAGCGCTAGGAAAGCGATAAACATGCCACGAGCAATTTAATATCTTTGAAGGCTTGGGTGATCCCAAAATACTAGCCCATCATCCATGTGAGTTTGGCCAAAAAAATTGAGCTGCCCCAGCTCTGGTAAAATCCCTCCTTGGGCCTGTCAATCAGCATCTGCTAAAGGCAGATAACTCTATTGTCGTTCTGCATCAGATACATTTGGACCGTTCGGTGGTTATGGAGGCCAGAAGGTAATCCTGATTTACAGACGGCACAAAGAGCGTCTCGAAACGAAGGCAGGGATCGCACCATCCCCACGCCTCCTTGCCCCCCAATCCTGCAGATGTAGTTTAGTTCACTGTCATTGCACCTCTTACAACGAAATTACCATCTTCAGTGTACATTATGACTATGAAAATAAACACAAGCACATATCCTCCACATTCTATACAATTGAATTGAAAACCCCTGATATTGCATTAATCTTGCACTATACAGTAGAATTCAATAGAGTTGCTGCCCTGGGATAGAAGCTGTTTCGTTTGTTTCGTTTTGTTTTTAATTTGAAGGGTGGGGGGAGGGGATGCTATGGAGTGTGCCCAATTTTCACCGGCCAAGAGTTTTGTGCAGTTTGGATCGCCAAGCGTCCTTTGTTAAATCCCGTTCCAGAGCTGTGAGGTCCACTTTGGCCCTCTCCCCGCCTTGCCGTCCGGTGCCCTTCTCCAAACCCTCCGTCCTGGGGTTTGGCAAAATGATTGACAGCTCCACAGCTGACTTTTGAATACGCTCCTCCCCACCCTTCGGTTGTGACTTTCCAACAGGTTTTGCTGGTGCATAACTTGAATAGCTGAACTGCCTTTGTCCTGGCCCACTGCCCCAAGGGGGAGGATTAGGTCTCCCTCCTGGGCCTTTGGTTCGCTGCTGCTCTTTCTTCCTTCCTTCCGCTACCTGGTGACACACACACACATACACACACCTGCCTTCCGGCATCTCCAGCAGAGGCCCTGCCATTCCCTTGGCACTCGGGGTTGCGAGCTCTTCTTCGATCTCCGTGTCCTTCTGTGCGTCAACCTCCTTCTCACCCCCGCCACCCCCTTGGAGCCAAGCTGGCATGGCTTGCTGGCACCCGGGCGTCCGTTTTCCTTCCAGCCTGACCATCTGCCTGCTTTCCCTGCTGGGTGAGTTTAGGAAAAGGGCTCCTCCTGGGTTTCTTCCTTTCCCTCCCACCCCCACCCCACCCCACCCCCGCCAGCTGGTCTGATCCTGCTGGCTTCTGACAGAATCTGAGCTGTGCGTGAGAAAGAAGCAAAGCCCCGTCCAATTCCTAAGGGGGTATGAGGGTTGTACACCTCCTCTTCACCCGGGCTGGAACAAGAATTGAAAGGGGGGGGAAGGAGCAGCGTATTTAGGACAATGAGGATGAATTTGAACAAAGGAGGCTCTGCTGAAGGTGAGCTGTCTTTTAAGACTCACCTGTGCAAAGCATCACACACCTCCGACACCCGGCTCAAAAGAACCCTGAGAAAGATGAGGCTGTTGAGATCCAACAAATACTCCTCATTTGTTTATATATTTGTTTGTTTGTTTGTTTGTCTGTAAAACATATACAAGATGACAAGTATGAACAGGGATAGGGTTAGGGATAGGGATAGAGATAGGGTTAGGGTTAGGAATAGGGATAGGTTTAGGGTTAGTCTTAGGGTTAGGTTTAGGGATAGGGTTAGGTTTAGGGATAGGGTTAGGGATAGGGATAGGAATAGGGTTAGGGATAGGGATAGGGATAGGGATAGGGTTAGGGATAGGGATAGGGTTAGGGTTAGGGATAGGGATAGGGATAGGGATAGGGTTAG